TTTCCCTTTTAAAAAAATGATACAGGTCTAAAGTTGTGGTTGCCAAAAACTGTTTGACCTGATAATTCAGGCATTCCTTCAAGGTAGCTGTTTACTGTAAAGTTGCTAAAGTCACTGGGTTAGTGCTTCAGGACAAAGTGCAAGTTCTCCCAAAAAAGCGGACAGGAATGGGTGGAGTAGCACTTCGTGTTTTGTGGGCAGAGTGGCATAACTGCTGCTGGTTTGAAGCCATCACAAATAAACTTTGTGCTACATATCCCTCCACACACAAAAATGAATTTTAAGTGATCATTATAGAGTTCTGTAAAACAATACAAGTTACCTCCAATGGGTTTCCAGTTCAGTTTGCAATCAATAGGTTTTTTAAATGTGTCTCCTTGATTGGTTTTGCTAGTAATTCTGTAAATTGTACATTTACAATATGAGGTTTTTTCCTTTTGTACAATTTAAAACTGATGCTTCACTTTTCCTTTAATAAACTCCTCAAAATCGCATGTGCAGTGGAGTCCTTTCCACAAAGCATTTGGAAATGGGTGCTTTCTGTTTGGTCTGTCTTCCACTAAATATTTCCCAATAGTGAAGCTTGAAAAGCTGTTCATTTCATTCCTTATGTCTGCTTATCCTGCTGTTCAGCATTCTGGACACAGCAGACTCTTGAGTTTTTGGTGTGTTTTTTTCCCCTCTTTGGAGATTTTTCCTCCCTACAATAAATGATGCTTTTAGTTCAATTTTTTCCCCAAAATAGCTTTTAGTACTCAAACCCCCTTGGAAGACATTTCCATCTCCCCTCTTTTATGCACCAGATATGTCATTCAAGTAAATAGCAATTTAGCACATGTATGGAATTTTAGAGAATGGGATTCCTAGGGTCTCAGCTTTCACTTGGAACACACAATCAGCAAGCTTCTCCCCTTTGTGTTTACCAAGGTTTATGAAGCTCCAGTATTCAATAGGTGAAGTACACTTCCTCTAGACACACACTCTTGTAGGTCACTAAGACCCTTAACCACTGCAGCGTTCAACTTTTTTGCCAGAATAATAATCCAAAATCTACAGGAGTTCGTAATTTCACAATAAAGCATGAAATGAGTTAGTGTGATCCTGCTGGAATTTTGGTGCAATAGCAGTTTTAATAAATATATCTAAATGTGATATGCTCAAAATTTAAGTTTTCAGATAGCTTCTAGGCTAGGACACCCAGAAGCTTCATGTGTGGTCAGCCTTTTAACAAGTTTCTGCTTCATCTAGATTTGGTAATTTAGAATCTTGTTTCTCCAGTCTCTGAAAAGAAAAACATCCTTAAAGATGGGACAGCTTGTCACTAGAGAACTTTCTTATTTCAGGTACAAGGGTAATGGAGAACACTTGTCCTACTTGTGACAGAGTGTGGATATTTTTCAGGGAACAAGTTGGTTGTTCAAGATTGTTAGACCGTGGATTCAAAATTTATACTTGTGTGATGCTTTACTGAAATATTAACTTCAGGCAGGTAACATATCCACTTTCTTTTTTATGGCTCCCTGATATATCTAAGTGTCCAATCTAGAAAATGTTTAAATGTGAATACTGCTAAACTTTTAATATGAACAATTTTAGTAGCAATAGTTAAGAGCTACTGTGAACCAATATTTCTGCTCTAAGGGTTAAGAGCCTTAATAAGACAAAGTTAGAGAAAATACAAAGCTTGGTAAATAAGTTGGTACCAAATTGTTGTAGTCAATAGCACCCAGAAGTCTTTGTTATTTGATGTTTTTGCTTAGCATAAGTACTTCAGGTGGAAGGTAGCTCAGTTGTTATTCTGGAGATGTCATTTGGAACTACTCGCCACCGTATTCACCCAGCATATCAGTTAGAAAAAATTGAAATCTTAAAAATATAAGTCTACAGTCTACAGCTCATTTTCCTGCTGGACAGCTTCTGTTAACACAAGGCTGGCTACACAGGGCTCCTCTTCTCTTTAGAAGTCCTCTTCACCTGAGGCATTCTCGCTATCGCTAATCCCTGGCTGACTCATGATATCTTGGAACAAATTACTACATTATAAATAGTGACAATTTTTTTAAAAAGACTTTTCAAAATCTGCTGAATCACTGAATTTTAACAAATTTATATGTCTTGTTGAGTATTTATTCTAGGGATGCACGCAAACCTAAAAAGGGTGGTTCAGTTGGGGTGGCCCACAAACCAAACCCCAAACCAAGCCAAAAGGACCCTGACCGAGCTGGTTGGACGAGTTCAGTTCCCCCGTCTCCCAGTTGTGGCTTGGGGAGCAGAGACTGCCCTGGAATGGACTTTGCCCAACCACAACTCACCAGGGCCAGGGCTCCCTTTCTCCTGGCCACGGGTTACCACAGCTGGGAGAAAGGGGGTGGGAATTGCCTGGAAAGTGTTAAATGACTGCCAGCCATTTAAACCTAACCACTCAGCGGGTCCACAATTTGTAGTTGTTTTTCCAACATAAAGTTTTTATAGGGTAAACAAGCAGTAGTCAACAAACAGTTCTATCTGGTACTAATCCTCCTTGGGGACGTTTTGCCTGTGGAAATTGTACTTTCTAATTGTTGTAAATTAACACGTAATATGAAATACTTTATCAACCCTTTAGATAAAAAGTACATACTAAAGGATTTTACAACATGTAACTCTATATATCCTCCAATGCCCCTGTAAAAACTTTATGTTGGAAAAACTAGAAATTTAAGAACACTCATAGCAGAACACAAAAGTAATCTATAGTGGGGAAAAACAAGTGCCCCATTGGCTAAACACTTTATAGAAAATAATCATAGTCCTTCTGGCTTTATTTTTTGGGCTGTGCAGAAATTAACCTGTCAAAATGAAAGTCTGCTACTGAAAAAAGAAGCAGACTGAATTGTTAAACTCCAGACACTGACACCTGAAGGGTTAAATCTGTCTTTAGAATTGCACCAGCTTCTGTTTAAAAAAAAATTACATCAACTGGATGCCAGAATATAGTAAAGTTCTTCCCGTCAGAATTACCTACTGATCTTTTACTCTTTTTAAAGAACTACTGCAAGACAAACAGGTTGGTAACATTCATTTAGGCACAGAAAAAATATTTCTTAATTTTGAGCCAAAACCTGTTGGGTGCTGAACAGCCTTATCTCTATTCTTTACAAGGAGTTTCTCTTCCTCATGCAATCTCAAGGACAGCAGTTTTGTATGTGACTGGTATTTTAGTACCTGAACTCTAACTTTTAATACAAATTTATATAATTTTAACTATAGTTATGTAAAGTCAGTGTTCTTAAATATTACAGATTACCCTGACGAAGTCTGTTCACAAAACACATAGGGAATTTTTGGAAATTTAATAAAATATATATTTTACCTGATTTTGCACCATCAGCCTTGGCCCTATTTTCTATCTCCTGTGACCAGACCCGTAGCTTCCGGGGGGCCCTGGGGGTGATGGCCCCTCACGAATGTGCCCTGCCCCTTGCCCCCAACTCTCCCAGTCTCTCCTCCCCTGGGAGGTGGAGGGAGCACTGGGGCTCGTTCCTGGTGTGCCACTCTCAGTTGCTGCCATCCTGTGAGGCTGAGCGGTGAGGCCGGCTGGAAAGGCAGGATGTAATGGGCAAGAGCAGGCTTTCTGCTTCCACAGTCAGCTTCTCAAAGCCCCTCTCCCTCTCCTCCTGCTC